TGTTTTTGAGGTCTTTCTTGATCTGTCTCGTTTTTGTTACGGAATTTATAATTTAATAAAACTACATTTTATCAGTAACAATCTCATCTACGTCTCTAGTTTATTTGAACTTTACTGGAGGAACTTTAAAGAAAACTATATTAAAACAGCTTCCTGTGTTTGCCAAAAGGGAGGACTGGCTCTGACTGGTATCTTGAAGTTCTTGCATCCCTGACTTGGCTGTGTCTCAAACACAATTCTGAGTAGGTCTTTCTACTGAAAAATCATGAGTTGCAGGCTTAATGCTCACACAGGCTTAACGTTCCTTCTCTGAAGAGCTGATCAACTGGCTTCATTGCTATGGTGGGCAGAAGTGTCACATACAGCCTTGTTTTAACAGAAGAAATTTTGAAACTTGACTTAAGGAATATGGATGTTAAGGACTGTATTGCTGTCTGTCTGTTCTTTGTAGCAAAACTAGTGCCAGCACAGAAAAGGTAGTTTTGTGTTTGTGCTATCCATCTAGATTTATTTCTACAAACTGACTTCTGTATTAGAGAAGTTTAGAAGTCAGAGCTTGGAAAGCACAGCTTGTCTTTTCTGTCTATGGCAGTTTTATGTTTTTTCAAATTGAGAAATGGCATTAGTTGATTCTGGATTGAATCTTTAAAATAAAGCTAATTAAACTCCAATTCTTACTACACGTATCCCTGAATAGAAGGGATACATAGCTGATACATAGGTACTGCACGTCTTCAGACAAAAGTTGCCATAGGAAAACAACCACTTGAAGGGAATTAAAAGGGCTGATTTTCAAAAATGGTAGATTTAAACTTCTAAAATGTTATTACTGCAATGATGACTGATGTGTCTAATCTTGAGCGAAGCTGTGCCAACCCTCCAGTTTGTTTCTTCTGCCCAGAGGTGAAATTGGTGGGTCAATGAATAAAGGGAAGTGCAGAGGAAACTAGGATGGAATAAGGATGATTTCCTTCCTCAGCTAGGAATGAACGTTCCTGATCACAGATTTTTACTATCATCTTCCACTTCTGTAAGGAAATAAGCCAGTAATGTGGAATTCAGAGGAAAGAGGAGGGAATGTTTTTTTTCTTCTACTTGTTAGTTGCCAGCTGTCTTATTTCTCTGTTTTGAGTTAGCACACAGTGGCTCTAATCAGAGTCTGACTTTGTGCTGCAAAAACCTTCAGGAAGAACATGTCTGCTATGTGCACACATTTTACTTCATGTGAGGTTACCTACTCTTAAGAAAGCTAGTAGCAAAATACAAGAACTTGACTCACTATAATTTCAGGATTTTCAGCCTAAACAGTCAACAAATAATTTTATCAGTGGTTATCTTTGGGGGTTCTTGACCAAAGTAGAGAGGCAGACCTGTTCAGCCAAACACCCAGGATGCTGCTTTTGGCCCCTGGTGGCTGGCTCCAGCTCTGAAGTACTAAAATTAGTTAAAGTAGGACTGGTAAGAGCATAATAGCCAATCATTGGAGTGGCAAATGCACTCACCAGATCAAGCTAGGAAAAAGTAGTAACTGGTAATTCCCATCTTCTATTTAAACCATTACCTTCAGTAGGAGATACGTTCTCTGTCAATTTTTGCTAAGCCACAGCCGCACTGCATTATGTGGTTTTCTGTGACTCCATGCATTAAGTGATTTCCAACTTGTACAGCATAGCTGGAGAAATGCATAGTGGAGCAAAACGTAAAGGGAAAATGAAATTAAAATACTATAAAATCTATTACGTCTCTTCATTTCCAGGAGAACAGAGAACCACATATGTCACGGTAAAAAAAAAAATCACATAGTGAAGCAAGCAATCAGCAAGAACACCTGGCTTACCTATATTGCCCATTTGGTAAGTATACCTCTGTCAGGAGAAATATGATAAAGTATCTACATTGCTAAAAGTGATCTCCAGTATCCACCCTTTAAATGCTTCGTGCAGAATCCACACCCCCCCTTATGCACTTGGGCTGTCCCAGTGCAGAGAGGCAAGGGAACAAGACCGGCATTTCACAGTGTAATAGGAGACCTAGTTTGCTGAGGAGGGAGCTGGCAAACTAGCCCCTAGGAAATAAAGCTAGCACGCCATTTAATTAGGAGACTGGGAGTATCAATTTTGAGGTTTCTAATTGATTTTGTACATTCAGTGCTCGTTTGGTTTTAGGCCATTTCTGAAGAGGAAGAAAAACAGAGATGAAACTCGTAGCCTTCATGAAGAAAATGTAAGTGCTTACCAGCTGCTGGTTACAGGTATTTGTCACTTTAAGATGATACGCAAGTGTTTTATGAAATAAAGCATTTAGGTTTGAAATTAGTGAAATGGGATTCCATTTAAACTCACTCAGTCTGGAGCTCTTGTGCTAGCACTCATGGTAATGTAGTTAGGCTGGTTTTCATACAAAGGGCTGTACTTGCTTTTAAAACAGAAAAGAAGCCAGAGAATACAGTATTAGGCTGCTCACAGTATCTCTGATCAAAACAAACACCTGTAATTACCTTCAGAATCTCCCATAGCTGTTTGCTACATTTGTGATTCCAACAAAATGAGTTTCTGTAACCTTTTCTGAAACTTTTCTGAAAGTGTCATACTCAGTACCAGTAAATTATTTGTCCTGTTCTTAGGAGTAAACATTGGCCATTGACACAAATCAGAGAGGATGGCTGGGGAAATGCATTTGCTGAAATAAGAAGCAAGCTTATTGTCTACAAATCAAAATGTAAAGAGGTCCCCAATAGGTGTACATACTGAGTTTCACTTACTGGCAGCATAGGTCTAGTTCAAAATGTGCAAGTAAAACAGATTCTGCTTTTCTGCTACAATTTCCTTCCTTTCAAATTTACATCACCCAGTGCACAGAATACACTAATAAGGCTTACAGCCTGGCACCTGAAAAATAAAAGAAAATAAAAATAAAATAAAATATAATAAAATAAAGAAGATTGAAGGGTCTTGCTCAGGTTCTAAGCAATTTTCACATCCGTTTTAAAAACATAATCACAGTATTAGTAATGGCAAATTTATTCTTGTTACTAGCAAAGACACAACCAGTTGCCCTTTAAAGCACAATTTTTTTGACTGGCAAGACTGTGATGTGCTATTGCTTCAAAGAGTTGGATGAGTATGGACTGGAGCATGCTCTGAAGGTTCAGTGATGGTGGCAGTCTGGAATCCCTCACAAGTCTTCAGGATCTTCATGAAAAGCAGAACTGTTTCATTACTAAACAATCGAGTAGTGCCTGGCTATATAAAACATCCATACTTCAGAAGTCATGGGTTTGAAGTCCTTTAGAGCACAGGCAAGACCCCAGCTGCACAGAGGACTAACAACGGAGCTACTGGATAAAAAGGGCCAGGGACAAAAGCAGCACAAACCAGAACACTACTCCCTGCCCATGTTCCCATTCCTGTCTCTAATGTGGAAGTAAAAACCGAACTTTATTTTTACGGAAGAGAGATTTGAAATCCTCCAGCAGCAGCTTCAGGTATGAAGGCAAACAGGCAGGATAACAGGGCAGAGTAAGTTCCTTATCCTCCCCGAGATGCCAGCTCAAAACACATCCCTTTCTTCAGCCTTTCCTTTGGTTGCTTCAGGCTGTACACACTCCCAGCTGTGAAAGTCATATAGTAAAACATTCCCAGCAGAGCACAGCATCTGTTCAAAAGCTGCAGAATCTTAATAGGCAATTCAGGGCTAATTTCCATCACTGATCTGTCCCACGATCTTCAAACATATGTACAGTTACCTCGCTGTCTCAAACTCCGGGATCCTGCCAGGCTGTAGAAATCACAATGGATTTCCACCTAAGGAATCGCCTCCTTTTCCTCAGGCAGCTTCTTCCATGTAGAGTGAGTTATCCCTCGTCTGAGCGAGAATGCATGTCAGTGCCACATAGCCCAAAATTTCCTCCTTAACATGCTCCCCTGAGCTCAGATCTCAGCCCCTACTGGATTTACATACAAGTGCATTCTAACCAACAGTACAGGAAATCCTCAGTCACGGAGATGTCTGCATGGTTCTGCTCTCACAGATGTTCCATTTTAAGAATCATCTGCCAAAGCAGGGACTCGGTGTCAGTTTCTAATTTCTGAAGGGAAAACTCTCCCCACTGAGTTACCTAATTACTTGCACAGTCACCAGCATCAAGTGGAAACCAAGTTCCAAATCTTGTGGTCAGCTCAAATATGCCCTACCAGTAAAAATAGTCTGAAGAAAGATGTAGACAGATCCACGTGCAAGTCCTTCCAGAGTGCTGAAGTACTCAGACCACCCAGTCCATCAAGGACAGCCCATTGAGGGCATGATACAACAGGGCCTTCCAAGATTTCAACTAGATTCTATGTAAAGAATCAGGTCAGCAGCTTCACATGTGCTCAGCAGCACAGGTCCAGGCTATGGGAACGTACAGATGCATATGTAGGTAGTTGGTTCCTGGAGCAGTGAGAAGACACCTAAATGCATTTAAACACCTGAATGAGTGTCAGTGAACGAGGTCTATAAGCTCCTCTGAGTTAGAGCTTTTCCTGTAAAAATCACCATTAACTGAAGTATCCTTGGATACTTTCTCAGCAATTATGCAAGGAACTGACTGAAGATGAGGAAAAAAACAAAAACAAAACACCCCAACTCATCTCACCAGTCATCATCCCTTCAAAGCTCCTTAAAGACACTAGTCTCATGTTGGGGAAGTCATGTTTTGCAGCTTCAGATGCACCTGTTCTGCAAATAAATAAAACTTGTATCTTTTAAGCAATTCATTTTTGTACCAGTTAGGAAAACAAAATTAACTCCAAAGAAAATAATTTTCAGCCTCATTCCAAAAGGAATTATAGTTCTGTTCTCAGCACAGTACTTACCTTTACATACTAATTTTACTGATCTCCATTCAGTGTGTGATTAGGACAGTAAAGAATCTGCCGGGGATTTCTCTGTGGGTGCACACCAAATATATCTGCCTGACATGAACGACAGGAATGATAATGCCAGTTTAAATGAACAAGTTCTTAAATGATTCAGTTTAATGACTACTTTAGTGAAAGCTTTAGTTTGCAAAAAGGTCAAGACCATTTCTTACGCATTGACTGTCATTTATGTTTTGGTCTTCTAAGCAATGCTTGCAAATTGGCAGGCCCACCCCATACAGTCCCGAAAACGTCCTTCTCTGTCCTTAGGGCAGCTTCCAGTGGCAGCTCTCTTCCCGCTGTCACCACCTTTTTCACAGCCTGAATCACACTGGCTGGACCCTCTGTGTACTGACTCAGCCAGGCTCGGGCTTCTTCTAACGCTCCGGTTTCATCTGAAGAGGACAGCGTCTCCTCCGAGAGCCCAAAGCACATGGCCCTCTCGGGGTCCACCCCGGCAGCCCCGCTCAGCAGCCGGAGGGCAGCCCCGCTGCCCACGATCCGCACCAGCCGGGCGGCTCCTCCCCAGCCTGGCACCAGACCCATGTGCTTGTGGACAAATCGAATTTCACTCCCAGGCGTCATCAACCTGTCAACGAAGAACAAAACACGCAGAGGTCAATCCACGCATCGACTTCTGTTTTCAGTCTGAAGGCACTCCCATTTTCTATTTTCTCCTCCCCTCTGCTCCCAGAGGCCGATACAACTCGACAGCATGCTGATTACAACCAGAGCTGGAGTATCTTAATTTTTGTATCATCTGGTGTCTTAGCTGCAGCTTTTGGCCCTTCTCAAAATGAGATACATAGGCTGCCACAAGTAAAGACGCTTAGTGCCCACGTTGATACCTGCAGTCAGTTCTAAAAAGTGAAAACAGAATTGCAGATGGTGGGCATGTTACACTCACAGTGCCAACACTGCCTTACTAATTCATGCCTAAAACAACAGGGGCTTGGGTAAAAAACAAACAAATGCACAAAACCTATTTCTCAAGATGAACAATCATGGTCTTAGTACTGATCTGCACTGGGGAGGTTCTGTCAGCACCCTGGTGCTTGATTAAAGCACAGTTGTTTGGTTTGGGGTTTGTTTTTTTTTTTTTTCCCCCCCCCCCCCTCTATTTTAGAGTGTGACGCATCAGTTTGATTTCTAACTGCTCACTACAGCAAGGGAAGTCAGGATGAACGTTCGACTTGTGGCTCACAACATATAATAGAATTGCTTTCTATTTATGCTTACAGTGTGTAATAGAATTGCTCTCCTCTGGAAGGTAGAGTCACATTCCTCTTTTCAAAGATTTCACATCTTCGTTTCTTTTCTACAGTCTGTCATCTCCCTTATTTAAGGACTCACCCTAGGGCTGATTAAGCTATCTCCCCGGAGGAGCTCTGCTGCAATGGATTGTACTGTCTCCACGTAGTGTTCACACTGACACACGTGAGGGTAGTGGAAAAAGCCTCTAGGTAGTAGAAACATACAGAAAAGATGTACAGAAACAGACCAGTAGTTGCTCTTAAAATGAAGGTTTGCAGTGTGGTTGCTTGCTGCTGTTTCTAAGACAAGGGATGTAAATTACACTTTTGAAGTAGATTAGCTTCTACTTCAAGCACTAATTGGCTTTCTGAAGATAAATCACGTAATACTAAGATCTACACACAAGTCTGTTTCCTAACAATGAAGTTTTCCATAATGAAAATACCAAGGTAAACAGCTTTGAAAGGGAAAGAAAACCTTTAAAAATGCAACTACTTCCAGGAACTCACAGTTCCCGAATCTGCTTAGTTATTGTTAATTGTAAGTTTGCTTGATTGCTTTTTCCTCAACCAGAGCGCCATCAGCATTCATGCCACACTATAAAGCACCAGGGCTGAAGAGCTTACGCTTTATCCCAGACCCAACACAATGCACAAAGGCAACAGCTGACATGCCAGATTGCATGAAAGCCTTTTTGTAGAGATAGTGGAGGAAGGTTGTGTGACAAAAGGAAGAGAGCAGAGTATTGCTGGGGAGGAAAGGCTTTTAGCTAACATTAGCAAGTGCTTCCCAAACCCAGCAAATCCCAGGGAGCTCAGGTCTCTCCTGTCCAAAAGGAAGACTCTGCAAGTATTCCAAAACTCCTATTTATTGGCTCCGCTTACTTTGCAATTTGCTGACACCCAGTGTCCCACTGGGAAAAGCAATAATGAAAACATTATTAAGGGTTTAATTCTAGCTGTGCTGAGCGATGGGAAGCATTAAAAAAAGAGGCGGTCACGTGCAGCTAGGCATCTGATGCTAGGCAGTCTGCAGGCAGTCTCAGGAGAGCCACGGCTGGCCAGGAAGACAATGTTGTGTTTGTACACTGCATCGGAAGCTGTCCCAGGCACCTGGGTTCAGGCCTTAAGGACAGGCATTTCAGTGAGCATCCTGGAAACCTGGGTCGACGCACTCTGAAGTTTGCATGGGAAGTCAAATTTCACATTAGAAACACAGCCAATCCATCAGCACCAACAAGGAAAAAAAAAAAAAAAGAGGCAGAAAATGTTTATTATGTGGGAAAAGCTTTGTTACCCTGCATAGCCTTTACCTCCCTCTGAGGAAATGGAACCGAACATGATGAAAATAAACAACTGACAGCTAAACCCATAGAGACTGTGAGGCTGCAACTTCCAGGATCAAAATGGATTTCACCTCTCCCTACGATGCCCCTTTGAACAAGCTCCACAGAAAATACTGAGATAAGTGGTGGTCCGTAGAAGGTGTAAAGGTAGTCTTGGACTGCCTTCAGGCCTAAGAAAGGTATCTATGGTTTTTCAGACTTTTCACCTATGAATCCTCTCCTGAAGTCACACTATTTCTTACAGAAACCACCCATCACACTCTATTATGTACACCGCTCATTTCCAGTCCCCACACCCAAGGAAGCAATGGAGATCTGAGCTCAGATCTGAAGAGGTGTGTGCTGCTGCCAAGCTAGCCTGGCATCAGCCTCTGAACATCGCCAGCTGCAGCCTCACATAAATATTTCCCTTTTTATTTTATGAAAGGAATTCTGAGACATGACAGATCTGATCTCCCATTAGATGAATTTATGTAAATAAAGTATATCAAGCATTACTAAACATAAAGAGGCAGACATCAAAAAGCTAAAAAGACCAACGTACTAATCTATTCCTGAGCTGTTTATACCTTATTCACCTAGTACTGGCCCTGCCTGAGACAGAGTAGTAGATGAATAAAAGATGACCCCTGATTTGACTCAGTATGCCTGTTCTTGTCTTCCAGGTCAAGGGAATTAAAATCTGGGTCTCCTGTGTCTCAGGGGAAGGTCATATTGCTAGGCTGCTAGATACAGTCTTTCCCTGCCCTAAAAAAAGAAGAAAATCTGTTGCATGGCAATACTGAAAAAAATATTTATTAAATGTAATTAATATACAAAGTCACTGAAGACCTTACAAGCAGAGAAACATCCTTCAGAAATGTGAAGGGTCACAAAATCCTCACAACTTAAATTGGAAATAAGAGGTTAAGGTGATATAAGCACCAAAGTGCAGCTGAAACCTTCTTTAAGGACACTGTGTTTTCATGTTACAAGCACTACACCACCCCTAGGAAGAAAGCACAGCCACCACAGGCCACATCCAATTTTGGGTTAATCATCTAAAGCAAACAAGAGCTACAGCAAATGTTCCTGCTGGATGTTTTTAAATGTTCTCAGACGCACTAGATGTTACAAACCCTCCACCTTTGATGGGAAGATTCCTCCACTGTGACATCTCATTGTGCCCACAAACTACCGACTGTCAGATCTCATCACGTCACATCAGTGGCAATGCACGTGAGAAGAAAACCCTGTTTGCCATTTACAATGCAACCTAACAAGTCCCATCCTTAAACAGGTACACTTGCTTCCTCAAAGGCAGCACTTACTGTGAGCTAACAGCTATTCTTGCTTTTGCTAACGTATTTCCCAGCTACTTGAAGCTGGAGCATGTACAGTAAAGGCTGAAAATGCAAACAAAAATGTATTTTCTCAGTTTTTCATACCTGCTTTTTATAGTACCCATGTTACTGAACTGTTCCAACAGGCATAATCAGTTCCTCGGGAAGAATTTAGATTATTTTAAGATCTGTGCTGGCCCTTACCTCATCATTTCCTGGACTTCAGGGTTTTAATCATATTCAGCATTCTAACAAGGCAAAGACACTAATGAAACTTACTAGGGAGGGACAAATACCATCCTCTATTTTATGCATTTTAAAAGCTCCTACCACTATGCTTCGAAACCCATGATGGAAAAAAAGGATGCCTGAAACATTAGGCGTATTGTCAGCAGCCTGGGTTTTGTTGCCATCCCTGTTTGACTTCCAGTGTCACATAAGGACACAGCTCCTGACTCCCAACCTTCTCCTGTTAGCTGGCATGAGATCGGCACGGAGGGAGGCAGCCGGCATCACACGGTGCTGCAGCACCTGGTTCTCAGCTGTGGTTATGCTGAGAGAGGGCAGCCAGGCTGCGGGAGATGACTTTTATCTCCCTCACAAATACTTCAGCCTCCTGCTCTCAAACCACCAATCAACATAAATAATAAGCAAAGCTTATGCCTTCGGGTCACAGAAAGTCCCTCACCACATCTGCTACCACCTTCTATAAATTTTGGTAACACCTATCTACAAGGTGGTTGAACCAACACAAAGTAGAAAATTATCCAAAAACAAGAGTCAAAGGCCTTAGGATACAATTGAAAGACATCCATCATTTTAGCACGCCGTACAGCAATAGATGTAGAAATAATAAGAAATCTTCAAATAGAACTAGACATTTCTGCAAAACATAGATGCAGGACATCCAGACACATGAAAAGCAATGGCCACGGTCAGCCACACATGCATTTTGGCTGTCACTACCCAGTGAAGACAGCAAGAATAGAGTATTGATATCAAAGGTTTTCAATCAATCATCCAAACCACACACACAACTATTTTAAGCACAGGAAAAGAGAGACATTACAGAAAAAAAAAAAAAAAACCAAAAACAAAACACCAGGAAAATGGTAACAGAAAGAAGGCTATCAAGGGCCAAACATTTGCTTTATCCAGAAAACAACAGAACAAAGTTGATGTACCATCCAGTCGTACACTTTCCCCAACGTGTATGTTTTCCTAATACACTCATCAATACAATATCAGCTTAATTAACTCTCATTAAGTAACAGCCATGCTATGTTGACACGTGGCCAAAACAGCTTTTTAAAATACAAACTGATGGGGAGTGCAAATTCAATAATTTGGTAGATGTCAGGTATGACATTATCTGTGGATGGTGTTTATCATGCAAATGGAACTTGTTTTGCCAGGTAGGCATGAAAATTGGATGACCTTGATTGCAGGTGACAAAAGCTCAGGTGTAACTCATTTAGGATTTTTAAATCTTCCTTGGCAAGTACTACCAGGACCATTCACTGCAACAGCAGCTCTCAAATGCATGTTGGACCTTAAGTGAGCAAGAAAGCCGGAGTCCACTGTCCACTTCTTCCCTGCTCTCCTACTGCACCTTCTCAACACCCAAAATACAGCCCCTGTCCCATCACTCCACCTGTGCATTGCACC